TACAAAAAAAAAAACACCACCACAACATACAACACACCTTGTGTCATTGCCATCATCATCATCATTGGATTGATCATTCTCGGAAACTTGCTCATATCTAAATTCTGTCAAAAACAACAAAATGCCAATTACATTACCCTACAGTTTTGATGAAACGGATGAGCTTGTGGTGTTCCGAATTCATTTGAAGGGTGCCACTCGGAGTCAGATGAGTGTCACTGTTGCCGATTGTTATGTGAAAGTGAATTGTCCTCCTCATCACTTTCTAGAGTTGGACTTGAAAGAGGAAATTGTATTGGATGCGTCGGCAAGAACCCAGAACAAAATTGAGGGTCACGACTTGGTGTTGCAATTTAGAAAGGCCGAACGAAAACGTTGGGAGACAGCAGTCAGAATAATTGATGACAACAACGTCACAAAGGAAATGATTGAGAAGCGAAGAGCAGAGTCTATTGAAAGACTAAGAAAAATTGAAGAACAAGAACGAGAAGAAAGGAAAAAGAAAAATTGAAAGAAGAAAAAGACTTTTGGAAAAACATTGGGAAGATGAAAACAAAAAAGAGAGGAAATAGAACGTAAAAACAAATGGAACGAGAACAAGCAGCATCTGAATTGCAAGAATTTAAGAAAAAGAGGAGGTCAATATTACCAGTGAAACTTTTCACAAGAAAATCTCTCAAACGCTTTGCCACAGAATCGTATGACACAACCAATCATTGAAGATGTAACAAATGAAGAAGAGGACATAGCTGTCGATTCAAAAGCAGACAAGTACGAAAAATGTGATGTTCCAGTGAGAGGCACAGAAACATCAACAATTAAGCTCTCATTCACTCCAAGGGCACTACGAACTCCAGCACGAGAAGACAAGGATAGTGAAACTTTAAAGAAATTCGAAATTTGGAAGAGAAAGAATAAGAGGGCTGAATTTGAAGATAGTGGTAAGTATGAAAGTTATTCACCTTTAGTCATTCTAATCTAATTTCAGTGGTATGGGTTATTGAGAGAGGTGACAAGTTTATGAAAAAGCAAAACTTCTCGTCAGCTATTAGCGCTTATACAGAAGCCTTGACCATGGATTCGAATGCCATTTCTTGCTTGTCAAAGAGAGCTGCATGTCACTTTGAGCGCCAAGAATATCTCAAAGCTATTGAAGATTGCACACAATTTTTACAGACAGAGGCAAAGACTGAGACAAACGTGGAGGATAAATATGTAGCCCTCGCATTAATCACTCGAGCAAAGAGTTATCAAGAAATTGGCGATTTCAAAAAAGCATTAGAAGATGCTAACCTAGCTTACAAAGTAGAGTCAAATTTGGAGTATCAAAAATTATTAAGAATCTTGAGAAATTTTATTTGACAATGTTGCATCGGAAAAAGATAAGGCAGATCTCTTGAAAGAAGAAGGAGATGCTGAATATTTCGAGAGGCGATTTGAAAAAGCAATCTCATGTTACACGAGCGCGATCAATCTCAAGCCCTTCTTTTTAGAGCATACGGAAATCGAGCCGCTTGCCATCTTCAATTGAACAAATTCTTCAATTGTATCGAAGATTGCACTTACATTTTAGAAAACATTCATTCTAAAGCTGTTGGTGAAACAGAACGAAAACAGAGCGCCTCTCTCATTTTGAAATCCTACACTCGAAGAGGAACATGCTATTTCAAATTGGGTGATTTTCAACGATCTTATAAGGATTATGAACAGGCCTCTCGAATGGCCCCAGAAGATGAAGACATAATGGCAGATTTAGAAAAAGTCAATAAGGAACTCACGTCACAACTTCAAGGAGATTGGCTCAAAAACACTGCCAACAATTTTTATTTGAACCAAGACTATGCTTCTGCAATTCATTCGTATACGCTTGCCATTCAACTCGACAAAACCAATCCTGTCTATTATTCAAACAGAGCCCAATGTTATTTCAAGGTGGGAGATTATGTGAAATGTGTTAAAGATTGTAATCTTGCTCTTTCCGTTTTGTCTGATGAAGATGAAAAGAGAGTGACTGAAATTTTAAAGGAGGAAGAAACAGGTGTTGATACGAATCCAAACAACAAGACCAAACCTGAATTTCCAACCAATCCAAAACTTACTCCCAAACTACAAATGAAGGTATATCTGAAGAGAGCAGTGGCTTACAAGGAGATGGAAGAATACGAAAGAGCGTTTCTTGACGTACGGCGAGCTCAACAATTCGAACCTGAAAATAAGGAAATCAAATGTGAATACGAAAAATCGAAGCCTTGTACAATGGCTGGAAGAAGGAGCAGGAGGAAAAAGTAAAGGTTGAACCAAAGTCAGACAAATACTTATAATAATATTAAACATTTTGATACACAAGATTGATATTTTCATCATTTGTTTAACATGGTGAGTGGAAACCCATATACATGTTATTCTGAAGTCTCACCACCGCATTATAAATTCCAAAACCAGTCATACACAACGTTGAAACGAAAATAATCAAAGCCACACAAAACACCACCAATGATTTTCGTTTCTTTGCAAACACAAAGTGCAGCAAAATCTGTCCAACCATTCCAGCCAACAAACCAAACACAAAGAACCACAATCCATAATCGAGTGGCAACGTTCCCAAAATGACAAACTGAATCGATGAAATCGAAGCTGTGAATAAAATCATAAAGGACGCTGTTGCAGAGGCCACCAAAGGATCCACACCCAAGGCCAACAACAATGGTCCCTTGATCATTCCACCACCAACTCCAAGTAAGCCAGCCAACATTCCAGAAAATCCAGCAAGTAATGGATATGCACTCACTGTCCACAAGGTATATCGAATATCTCCCTGAACAAACTTGTATCCACTTCCAACCAATGCTTGACGTTCCTGATGTTTCTTCAATAGATAGACAGCCACTAAAATGGTAATAAAAATCATAATTGGAAACATGAGTGAAAATAAAACCCAATACCATGGAGAACAATATGGAATTTGTAAAACACTTGGAGCTCCATGTCCACCTCTCATAATAGTCAAAGCAAACACAATAATCCAGCACAAAACGAGTATAAAAAGTTTCATGAAAGGAGTTCCTTTTTCTTCGTTAGTGAGTTTTCTGGCATATCGTTGCTTTTCTTCTTGTTCGATTTTTTCTTGTTCAATTTTTTCTAATTGATCTTCATCGAGAAGAGATGTTTCTAAAACATTATTTCCAGGTTGTGGTGTTGAATTTTTAGGTCTGTCAAATGTCTCTGATTCTGAATCTGAATGTGGACTTTCATCGATTTGAGTGTATTGAGCATCAGATGGAATATTTAATCGATCATGGTTAAGAGCTGCAGATTCTGCTTTCCACATTTGTACAGCTCGGATCGTAGTTGTAACAGTCATGATTGTTAAAATGATAGCACTCAATGCAACCATAAGCCATGAAGGAAA